GAGGATTCTTTTGGGGTGAGGAGTAAAAGATGTTCACAAGTAAGTAAGGGCAAAGTAAAACAGCAGTTTGAAGAGGGAAACAGCACTTGGAAGAGATAAAATAGACTGTCAAGGGCTGTGTTGGCTGAGGGCATTCTAGGTGAAGCCATAGCATGAATAAAGATGAGGACCTTAGGGCTGATTTGGCATATGCTGGAGCCTGGCCTAACATGGGAGTAGAAAGATTAGCTCTAGGGAAGGGTGGCTGTTAGTTTTTATCAGTGCTGGTAATAAAAAAGTCATAGTTCTAGAGCAGAAAGGGAAATGTTAATTGTGGGAAGCTAGTGCAAATTGGTATAGGTTGGTATAGTTGCAAATTAGTGTAGTCGTTCTGAAAAGCAATTTGAAACTATACCCCAAAAGACACTAAGTTTGTGCGTACCCAGTAATACCACTACTAGGATTATACGCCAATGATATCAAAGAAAGGAGAAAAGGATTCATGTATAACAATATTTATAGCACCTCTTTTTACAGTAGAAAGAAGCTGGAAACTAAGGGGATGCCCATCAATTGGGGAATAGTTGAACAAAGTATGGTATATGAGTATAATGGTATGCTATTATCCTGTAAGAAGTAATTGTCTCTTGATTTTTTTAAGAATAGTTTTTTAAGAGACTCTAGAATCTCTTCACTGATCCAAGAACCATTTTTTCAATAGTAAGGGGTGAACAGTTTCTGTTTTGATGTCAGTAATGTAGACTGCCAAGAAGCCTAGAAAAGTCAGAGAGATTGAACTGTGATTTGCAGGAACATCTGAAGTCCCTTCAGAAAATTATTGAAGGAGTATGTTAGGTTTTCCACTATTGATCAGAAATATTATCATATTGAAATTTCTGGGTTGGGTTTAGATTTTGCCATGAAAAATATGATTTATTTCTATTACTTATATTTCCATATGGACCCTTGCTATCATATGAAATAGGCTTTTAGGTGAGGATTCTGCAATATGGCCAGGCCTACCTGTTTTAATGTAATCTTGGCTAAGTGAAATACTGTACTTGCTATTTTTAATTTATCCCGTAATGCCCTCTCAAGTCTAGTCAACATGCATTTATTAAGTACCTCCTGTGAGCTTAGTGACAGGATAAAGATATAGCACAAGAGAACGAGAAGGGGTATTCAAACAGGTAGAAGGAGAATCAGGAGATAACAATGAGAAGATAACATTAAGGAGAAGGATCAGCAGTGTGGAAGGCTGTGGAGGGGTCAGGGATAAAGACCAGGGAAAGGCCGTTAGACTTGGCAATTGAGGGATCATTGGTAACTTTGGAGAGAGTACTTTCAATTGAATGATTTGTTTGGAAGTCTGCAGTAAAGAAGAGAGAGAAAAGAAGGGGGAGGTGCCTGTTTATAAGCAAGTTTCTTTTATTTTTTTTTTTATTTCCACATTAGTCATGTTGTAAAGAAGAATTAGAACCAATGGGAAAAACCACGAGAAAGAAGAAACAAAACAAAACAAACAAAAAAAAGAGAGCAAATAGTATTCTTCCATCTGCATTCAGGCTCTGTGGTTCTTTCTCTGGATGCGGATGGCATTTTCCATCATGAGTCTTTTGGAGTTGTCTTAGATCCTTGCATTGCTGAGAAGAGCTGAGTTTATCAAAGTGAGTCATTGCACCATGTGGCTGTTACTGTGTACAAGGTTCTCCTGGTTCTGTTCACTTCACTCAGCATCAGTTCATGTAAGTCTTTCCAGGTTTTTCTGAAGTCTACTCTAGGTAGCTTTCTGAAGAAAATTTGGCCACAGAGGGGAAGAGAGGTGTATAGGATGACAGCAAGCAAAGATGGTAGAATCAAGTGTGAGTTTTAATGAATAGGGAAGGCATGTGAGTATTTGTAGGTGTCAGGGAAGCAGCTGGAAGATAGATATTGAAGACTAAAGAGATTCGAGATGATTGAAGAGTTGATCTGCTGGAGAAGATGGGATAGAATGGGATCATTTGTGCATGTAGAAGGAATTGCCTCGGCAAGGAGAAAGGTCGCCTTTTCCCATGAGTCAGAGTGAAGGAAGATACAGAGGTAGAAGGTGTCGAAGTGATGTGAGATGAGGAGGAAGGAAGAGGAGAGACTTCTTGGCAAATGTCCCCAATTTTTTTCCCAGGGAAATGTGAGGCAAGATTCTCAGCTGAGAGGGTGAGTCACGGGAGGTTTGAGAATTGGAAAGATTTAGAAGAGGCACCTTGGTAAGCAGCATAGTGAATCGATTAGAGAGATGTGAAAGGATTGCCATGCCAAAGTGAGGGCCCAATTGAGAGGATGAGACATAAATTTTTACTGGAGCTGGTAGACTAGTTGGTTTTTTTTTTGATGTCTGTCCAGCTTCATTCATGTAAACTAGAGGAAAGGCAGCAGATGATGGGAATAGTCCAAGGCTGAGGCTTGGCGGGGCAACATCTTCAATAAGATAAGGGGGCAAGGGCCTTCAGAGAAGAGGAGAGTGTAGAGTTGAATAGGTTCACCAGAGGCTCAGGATGGGGAAAGGGAGGAGAGTGTAGTCAATGAATGGGGTCACAGACCAGGAAAGAACCAAGAGGTGGAGGGAATGGAGGTCACAGTGAGGATGAAGAACAGGGTGTGGGGCAGCAAAGTAGAGAGAGGGGTGGAGAGACAAAAGATTGGGATGAGATTATCATCTTATTTTCCTGAGTCTGGTCAGGGATCTTATTGCAGTTCATAGAATATTGAACCAAGTCATTACCTGGTCCTGCTTCATGTTTAGTGATGCGGTCAGTGTGATGAGTGGTATGGATGCTTATTCACTCTTTGGCCCTGAGAATTTGAAAATCCTTCAGCTGTCTCAGTGATGTCTGAAAATGTATTGGCCAAAAAACACAAGAGTAGCATTCCTTACCGTGATAAATTTTTTTTTTTTAAAAAGGATACATTAAAGCTTTCCATCATATGAGTTCTTTGTCACAAAAAGTAAAGCTGTGAGATGATACGCTGGAGTGTGAGTCACTTATTATGTAGTTGGGAATGAGAGGAAGTCTGTAACAATAATAACAAGAAATATTTATATAGTACTTTAAGGTCTACAAAGCAACTTTCATTTTTTCCATTAGATTCTCACAACTCTGCGAACTAGCCATTATTATCCCCATTTTACAGAGGAAGAAACAGAGGTTAAATAATTGGCAGAGTCACACAGCTCGTAAGTGTCTAAGGCAGAATTTGAATGCAGGTCTTCTGGGTTCCAAGTCTAGGACTCTCTATCCATTAATGGCACCTCGTTGCCTCTCTTACTCACAGAGTAAGGCGGGCCTGGGGGAAAAGTAAAGTAGGAGCTAGCCGTGATCGGGGAAGGGAAGCTCCAGAAAGAAATACGGAGACTGGATGGAAGACAGACTCCACCGATCTCAGGGTGGTCCCAAGCTCTATAGGAAGCCTGAATGCCAGAGATGATCTAGTTCAGCCTCCTCATTTTACAGATGAGGAAACTGAGGCACAGAGGGACATGACTCATCTAAGATCCAATACAATTTAATGCAATTAGCATTAATTAAGTGCCTCATGTTTTCAGGGCACTGAGTAAGGGACCGGGGATGCAATGACAAAAGTAAAAAAAAAACAAAAAACAAAAAAAAAACTCCTGCCTTCATGGAACTTCCATTCTAGGGTTGGAGAATATGACTCATATTTATGTAGTATAAGTAAGTTCTGATCACTAAAGTCCCTGGCACTATGAAATGGTTCAGTATGGTTTTATCCATGGAGATGATGTTAAAGATGGTACCTTTGGAAGTCATTGGACCTTTCTTTACTTCTTGCAGCTAAACCCTCCTGTGTAAGTTGTTTTTCTCCATTAGATTGGGAGTTCCTTGAGGGCAGGGACTGTCTCACTTTTCTATTTGTAGCCCCAATCCTTAGCATGGTGCTTTGCACATAGTAAGTACTTAATACATGTGTTTTTCATTCATTCATCCATAACACTGTAAGCATATGTACATACATGATAATTTAAGGAGAAGGGAGAGAAGATTAATAGCTCAGGAAATTAGGAAGGATTTCTCACAGAAAAAGGAATGGGGAATTGAGCCTTTTTTTTTTTTTTTGTGAAGGAATTGGGGTTAAGCGACTCGCCCAGGGTCACACAGCTAGTAGGTGTCAAGTCTCTGATCCGAGGCTGGATTTGAACTCAGGTCTGGTCTGAGACTGGATTTGAACTCAGGTCCTCCTGACTCCAAGGTCAGTGCTCTATCCACTGCGCCACCTAGCTGCCCCAGGAATTGAGCCTTGAAGGAAAGTTGAAATTCTACAGGGTGGAGGTGTGGAGGGGGCACATTTCAGACAGAGGAGACAGCTGGAGCAGCAAGCCAACAGGGGAGAAGTGGAATGCTGAGCTTGCAAACAGGCCCGTTTGGCCGGACAAGAAGGGGCCCAAGCATAATGAAGTCAGTCTGGAGAGGCGGGCTGGAGGCAGACTGAAAGAGTTTAAAAATCAAGCCATGTTTGTTTGTTTGTTTTTTAACTTGAGAAACTAGGGAGTCCCTGAATCTTCTCAGTCAGTGGAGTGACTTGTGCTTTAAGAAGATTGTTTTGGCAGCTGTGTTGGGAAAGGTCAGAGAGGACGCTACCATGTTCTACCATGATTGTCTGAATGAGAATTGATGAGGGCTTGAATTAAGGTAGAATGAGAGAGACAGAGGAGTTGAGGCTCACTCTGAAGTTCTCCAGCCTCCGTATCTAGAGGGATGGTGGTGTCCTCAACAATTCAACAAGCATTTATTAAGCGCCTCCTGTTTGCCAAATTAAAATGGAGCAGTCCCTCCCTTGAGGAACCTAAAGAAAGAAGGAAGTGAGTGGGAAAGCCCAGCTAGAATTGAGGTTTCCTGACTCCCAGCCCAGGGTCCTTTTCCTGATGAGGCTTCCATAGCAACCACCCCCACCCCACCCTTTTGTCAGTCCCCTCTGTGAGTTGCTGCCTACTCAGCCTCTGTCTCTGTCTCATCTTCAAACAGACTCTCCCCAGAGCTGGCCATCCTACATCTGCCACAGCATCATCAGTTTCCTGGTGTTCCTGCTGCTCATAGTCACATTCCCCATTTCTGGATGGTTTGCCTTGAAGGTAAAATTGGCAGGGGCTGGGGACCTTGTCTGCTCAACATCTCCAACCTTTGCAGTGGGCTTTGGCGTTTCCTGACTTATTTTTTCCCCTTCTTCCTTGCAATGCCCATATGATGGCAGGCACATATTGATCACTGTTAGCCAGATGAAGAAACTGAGGCTTGGAGCAGTGCAGTGACTTAGACACTTTAAGGGGCGAGCCAGGTCTAGAACCCCTGTTCATTGACCATGTCCTCTACATCCCTTCACTGTCTACCCCACATAGTCTTGGAAACCAATGGCTCTACCTTGGACAATGCATTTTAACAAGGAGAGGCACCAGTCCATCATCTGTCCCTAGGATGCTGCAGGTTGTTTTAGCCCTAATCAAAGACCTTATCCTCAATTATTAGGAAGGATGATCAGAGAAAAACAGAAGACCATGTCCTATCCCTCACATCAGACAATGATGGATGTGTTCATCCACATCTGGAATGGTATATATATATATATATTGACTTACAAAACACTAGAAAAGCTGCACGGTCTATTAGAAATTGGGTTGGACGCTAAGCCGTAGACCTGGGTTTGGTACTCAGATCTGTGTGGTACAAAAGCAATAATTGTGGTTGGCATCAGAAGACCTGAATTCCAACTCTGCTGCATACCATCTGTATGACCTTGAATGAATCCCTTAACTTCGATGGCACCTGGTTTCTTCATCTGTAAAATAAAAGGATTGGACTGGAAAGCCTTTGAGGGTCCCTCTCACCTCTTAATTAATTTGTGATCCCTTGATCCCACCTTTCTAAATAACAACTTCATTGACCCTTTGATTTGTCTCTGAAATGGAGACAGTACCTCACAAATACGAGGAAACCACTTTGTACCCCTTCAAGTTCCATATATAGGAGTTTTGAATACTTAAATATTCAAGAGCTAAAAAATCCTGCTAGATAGAGATAAGATGAACTTGAACTTTATCACCAAATCCCAAAATACTTGGGCCACAGAGAGTCCTTTGAAATTCCTGCCAGGCCAGTTTAGAAAAAATAATTAAATAACCTGCTTCATCCAGCAGGTAAGGTGTATGGAATCCATCCCCCCAAGAAGACATGGTGAGAAATAGAAGTGAGTCTTAGAAGGATTTGGACAAAATGATGAATGGTAGAATCATTCATGAAGACTGATTAGAGAATGGCGGCCTTTCCCATAAAAGAACCCTAGAAAATTCTGGACTGGATGGACTAAGGAAAGGAATTCTGGGTGGTGGATTGTGCTTAGGAGAGCCTGGGTTCTCCCAGGCCCTGTTGTCCATCAGCTACTCTGTGGTGGGGGCAAGTCATGACCTCTATGGGCCTCACTGTCCTCTCCTAGACATGTTTCTTTCCTGGCTTCTGGAGTAGGAAGGGGGGTAAAGTACATTGCCCTCCTCATAGGTAGACAATACAGGAGGAAGATGGGAAATTTTAAACTAGCTAATCTTTTCTATTCATTTCCAACAGCGGTTAGGTGAGAGTGAGGGGGTCAAGATGTGTAGTGACCCAGGGAAATTGGCAGAAGTCAGTGGCGGGCCTGCATGGCAGAGGGGCCATCTTGGGTCCGCCAATCCCCACTCTAATCCTCCTTTTTGCTTCCGTCTGCTTACATGTGCATTGTTTGCAGATCGTCCCTACCTATGAGCGAATGGTCGTGTTTCGTCTGGGACGAATTCGGGCCCCCCAGGGGCCGGGCATGGTCCTGCTGCTCCCTTTCATTGATTCTTGGCAGAGGGTGGATCTGAGGACAAGAGCATTCAATGTCCCTCCCTGTAAGGTGAGGGGTGTCACCTGCATCCCCTTGGTGGGGGCTTTGTCCCATGCTTCTGGGTTCATGGAGTGGGCAGGGACAGACTATAGGGATGGGCAGAAGGGTTCGCTTACTCATGACAGGTTTCTCTTGCTGGGAGTTTGTCCTGGTTCTCAGATGCCCATTCCTGCTGCAGTAAATACATCCTGCAGGCCCAGCTCCACCTTATGGAAGATGCAGAAGGAAAAGAAGTGGTCCCTGCCCCCAGGGAGATCATGGTCTGGTGGGGGGGGTGGGAGTGGGTGAGGAGAGATAAAGCTTACACACTTAGAAAAATGATAAAATAATGGCAAAGTAAGGGGGAAGGCGGGCATGGTTTAGGCCAGGAATTATCAGTCCTGTGGCTGGGGCCTGTTAGGATGCGTTAGGCTGGGACTCAGAGATAAAGCAGAGCCCCCAAGGGAAGGATAGGGTAGGGGGCATGGGGAAGAATCCAACTGGGGATTTAGAATGTTTCTGTTAAGTCGGTAATAGGAGAAATTATGGATTTGAGGAACTTGGGGAAGTGGTGAGAAAATGCAACTTCCAGCTGGCCTGATTTTCTACCATTGTGTCTTTTTTCAATTTTTTTTGCCTTTGTCCTGGCTTCCCAGAGATGTTGGGGAACCGCCCCTTCTAGATCTCTCTTCTGCCACCACCAGGCCTCAGCAGCTCCCTTTCTGTTCCTTAGCTTACCTGCAGATGAAGAATGTTTTTGTTCCTCACTCCTTCCCCCTCCCCCCACAAAGGACTCTATTAATATTTAAGGAAAAGAAAGTAGAGTCAAAGTGATGTTGAGGGAACAGAATTGGTGAGTTCTGTACTCCAGGAGTTGTAGCCCAAGAGGCCTCTTTGAGCCCTAAAAGCTAGCCCAGCTCTGGGGTTAATGAATCCTTCTCCCATCTGCCCTAATTGCTGTTGACCTCGGTATTGAATTTGATTTTGGAGAAAACCCCTGCATGAGACAGCCTCATAACTGCCCTCCCCCAAAAGAGACGCCCACCACAAATAAAGCTGGTTCCTCAGCCAGCAAGGACAGAGGACGATGAGGCCGAGAGACAACAAAATGGTAGGAGATAGCTGGGGTTGGCTCTGTGGAGTGAGGAGAGAGGTAGGAGGTGAGAAATGGCTGGAAAAGAGTTTTCTCCTTTCAATCTCGTAGACAGCAGCTGTTCCACTTGCTTTTGTCTTTTCCTTGAACTCTTTTCCTGGAACAGCCAATTGTGGGGGTGATGGGTGGGCTTCAGAGCCCACTGGGAAAGGTGAACGGGCCCCACCACCAGTCTCTACTACTCAGTGAAGGGCAGAGGAGATATTGTGCGTGAGCATTTGAATGAGTGTCTCCATGTCAGTGAGTCTTTGTATGTCCCCTGTACTTTGCACGTTGCTTGGCTCTCACTAGGATCATAAATCCCATGGAAGAGAGTCCAGAGTCCAGCTAGACCAAATTCCTTATTTTATAGATGAGGAAACTGACACTCATGGAATTTAAGTGACTAGCCCAAGGTCACATGGTCATATTGCTCAGAGATGGGATTTGAACCTAAGTTCTCCATCTCCAGGGCCAATGCTTTCCCCTGGTACCAAATGGTAATTGTGCATTTACTAATAAATTAATCAGGTGTGTCTATGATTGCATGTGTGAATGTCTCTGTGTCTTATGTACGAATGACCCCCATTTCTCCTTGGTGTTCCAAAGTGGGCCTGGTGGGTCATTGCTCTATGATCCTAGGGAGTGTCTGAGAATATCAGGGAGAGGAAATGACCAGAATGAATATAGCTGCAGCTAGAACCTGTGCTCATCTCTGCTGAAAACTGGTCTAGACCCCGGACCTCTGGGCCATCTCTGACCCACCTCCTCCTTTCCAGCTGACCTGCAAGGATGGTGCACTGGTGTCTGTGGGGGCTGATGTCCAGTTCCGCATCTGGGACCCAGTGTTATCAGTGATGATGGTGAAGGACCTGAACTCAGCCACCCGCATGACAGCCCAGAACGCCATGACAAAGACCTTGTTGAAGAAGCAGCTGCGTGAGATCCAGATGGAAAAGCTGAAGATCGGGGATCAGCTCCTAGTAAGCATCCCTTACGTCTGTCTACCTGCTGTACCTGGGTCTGGGATTGTTGGGGGGGGGGGGGGGGGGGGTAACGGAGGGAAGATGTCTTCTCACAAGACGAATGGAAAGAAAACAAGAGTCAGAAGGCCCTGGTCTGTCACTGTGGGATTGTGAGCCAACTAATTTACATACACCCCCAGTGGCCTCGGTTTCCTCATCTGTCAAATGGGTAAAGTAAACTCTACCTATTTCACATAGACTTTTGGGAAGGCATGATGAGATAGATGATGACAGGACGATGCTTTGGAAAAGATAACATCTAGTATAAATTTGAGGGCGTATTTTTAGTGGGAGTTGGAATGAGCCCAGTCTCTACTTCAGGTGGGAAGGGATCAGAGTCCTAGGCTTGCAAGTGACACCCGGGGACCATTTTGTCTCTGATAATCCCTATTGTCCCATTCTCTTGGCTTCAAGCAAGATTGTACCTGCTTCATAAATGCTTGTTGACTTCCCAGTCTAAGGCTTTTTCTACTATACTGATTCCCAAATTTCGGGAAGAATCCCAAAATTTTCACAGTACAACTAATTTGAGCTTCTCTTATCAAAATAAAATGACTCTGTACCCAATGGCATTTTTGGGGGAACCTCAGTGGGTTCGAGGGACATTTCTCAAGGACGGAATGAGACCCGGGTGTCCAAGGCTGGAGATCCCTGTGCAGATCATTCCCTTCTAGACTGAACAAGCCCACAGCTGGCAAATTGAGTGCCTGGGGACAATACAAAGTGCATGATTATCCGCTGACTTCCCCTAGCCCAGGCGATGCCAACCCTGTCCTCCTTTCTTCCCTCCTATCCTCTCTACCCCTTGTGACTTGCCACCTCCCCTGCCCCCCACCCCGCCAGCTGGAGATCAATGACATGACCAAGTCATGGGGTCTGGAAGTGGACCGAGTGGAGCTGACGGTGGAGGCCGTGCTGCAGGCTCCTCAGGATGCCCCCTCCCTGCCAGGCCTGGACAGTGCCATCCAACAGCTGGCTCTCCATTTCTTTGGTGCCGGCAGCAGTGGACATGCTCCTGTGGCAGCTGAGAAAGGTAGCTGGGCTGGAGTGAAGAGGCTTTCCGATGTATTCAATCCACAAACATTCGGGCGCCTATCGTGTACAAAGGGCTAGGGACGTGAATATGAAAAATGAGCTTATAGTTTATGGTGAGTGGGGATTATCAATAAATCTGAAAAAGGCAAGGTAAAATGTGATGGGGAAAAAAAAGCTCTGGGCAGAGTGTTCTCGGGTCGGCAATTAGAGAGAGTGGTCATTTTCAGCTAGTGGTCTGGGAGAGATCAATGGATCTATCGTCGATCAATTAGTATTTATTTGGGAATACAAGAAGCAAGAATAAAACAATGCCTACTCCCAGGAAACTTCCCTTCCAATGAGGAAGATGGCAGGTACAAATATAAGTAATATAGGCATGAAAGTAAAGTGAATAAATGCAAATATATACCAAGTAGTTAATTAAGTACAAGGTGGTTAGGTAGAAGGAAGGTGGCGGGATCGGAAAAGGCTTTCTGCAGAAGTCTCTACCTTAAAGGAAAAGAGAGACACTGAGGCAGCATTTTAGACATAAGCTTTGGCCCATGCAGATGGGAGATAGACCGATAGGCAAAGGTGGGGACACGGTGGGCTGGATTGCTGAATGTGGGAGAGGGAAGGATAGCCAGTGAGGCAGGAAAGCTAGGGCCAGCTTGTGCAGGGCTTCCAAAGGTAAAGAAAGGGATTTCTATTTTATTTGAGAGGCAATTGGAAGCTACTGGAGTCCATTGAGTGGGGAGTCATGTGGTCTGATCTACACTTAAGGGAAATTACCTTCGCAGCCATGTGGGGGATGGGCCAAAGAGGTGAAAATCTTAAAGCAAAGAGATGTGTAAGGAGGCAGTTGCAATAATGTAGGTGAGAAGTGATGAGGGTCTGAAGTGAGATGGTTACTGTGAGTGGAGAAAGGGGTTAGATGGGAGAGAGATTACGAGGATGGAAAGGGCGAGACTTGCCCACTGATTGGATATGGGGGGAGAGGGAAAAGGAGAGGAAGTAGCTTAGCGTAATGACAGATTTGTGAACCTGGGAGCTGGGAAGGATGTTGATTTTCTTTGTTAGAAATAAGGAAGTTTGGAAGATGAGGAGGGTTTGAGACAGGGGGAAAAGGTGATGATTTCTGTTTTAGACATTGGATTGGGTTTCAGGTGTCCCAGGGACATCCCGTTTGAAATATCCTATAGGTAATTGGTGATGTAGGGATGAGGCTTGGGGGCCAGACTTGGGTTAAAACCAAGAAAAACTTTAAGGAAGGCCTTCAAGGGAGAGAAGGCTTTCAGCAGATAGGAGAATGCATCCTCGGCACAGGCGGGAGAGGAGAGAAGAGATTAAGAAGTAGCTGATGGTCCAGTTTAGTTTGCAGCGGACAGTATGAAAGGGTAGCAGTGTGGAATGAGACAGGAAAGGTGGGTGAGAACCAAATTGTGGAAGGCCTCCGATGCCAAGCTAAGGCAGTTGTGTTTTATTCCACAGACAATAAGGAACCCTCGGAAGGTTTTTAAATAATGGTAGAAAGGTGGGGAGGGAAGAGAGGAGGGAGTGACGATGGTCAGGCATGTGCAGTAGGAGTATTATAGTGGTAGCTGTGTGGAAACTGAGCCGGGGAGGGAAGAGCCTGTGGGGTCAGTTAGGAGGCTGTTCTAATAGTCCAAGTGAGAAATGATGGGCCCAGAGTTGGTCGAGAGTATGGGTACAAGAGAACATAGCTGTTGAGCTGGAAGGAATCTGGAGTCTGATCCCCTTATTTTACAGATGAGAAAACTGGGGCATAGAGGAATGACTTTCCCATGGTCACTCTGTTGGTATCAGAGATAGGGTTTGAACTCGGTTCTCCTGGTGCCGGATGTAGCTCTCTATCTGCTACACCAAGCTGCCTTGCCAGTAGTGTTGGAGTAGAATCAGAAGGCCTTGATCTGTAAATGTGGGGATGGATGGAGAAGCCTTTCATCCCACCCCAGAACCCTGCCTGTGGGAGAGGAGATATGGGCCTAAGAGCATGGAGAGTGAAAGGGACAAAGTAATGTAAAGAAAGTGAGGATGAGGGGCAGCTAGGTGGTGCAGTGGATAGAGCGCTGGCCCTGGAGTCAGGAGGACATGAGTTCAAATCCAGCCTCAGACACTTGATGCTGACTAGCTGTGTGACCTTGGGCAAGTCACAACCCCATTGTCTAGCCAAAAAAGAAAAAAAAAGAAAGTGAGGATGGGGCATTTTAGGGCATTAGACTAGAAGGGGAAGAACTGGATGACCCCTAAGTAAAGCAGCCACATCGTGGAGCAGTTCCATTCTGCTTAGTCACATTTTTGTGGCTGGAGCTCAGCTGATGACCTCAGATAGAGGAAAGATGGTCAGACCAGCTGGGAAAGTGGGGGGGTGGGGCAGGGAATCTCAGCTCAATGGAAGAGGGCTTTGCAGCAACTAGACAATGGGTCATGCCTTGGGAGGTAGTCAGCTTCCTGTGTTTACAAGGGTGTGGCTGTTCACCAGTCAGGGAGGATCTGGAAGGGATTGCTGCATTGGGAAAAAGGTTGGAGTCGGTGATGTCTAAAGACTTGTGACTGTAAGATTCTGCAACTCTATGAACCTTTAAACTTTTAAGGATGGTGTCACTGAGGGCATGCTCTCCTTCCTTCTTCCTCCTCTTCCTCCTTTCTCCTCCCAAATTTTTATCTGTAGTTCTTGGGGCCCTTGAAGAAAGTTTGACTTCATTTATCAATAACTTTCTTCCACTCATCTCATACCTTGGGCAATTTCCAGAGGTTCTTCATCCCCGAAAGACCTCTCTCCAAAGATGGGCTGGCAGAAGATGTCACTAGAGGATACTGAAGGTGGAATGCTGGGTTGATCTGCCAGGAAGTAAAGGGGCTGGGGAAGACCGTCTGAGATAGGGTCAGTAGAGCTCCCAAAATGAAAAAATCAGGTCAGAGGATAGATCAGAGGGAAGAGGATATATGTCTGTTATTTTAGAGAATCATTCTTCTGACGGGGGAGACGTGGTGGGATCCAACTTGGTAACCTCTTATCAAATTGGAGACATTGAAACCCTGGGTCTAATAAGAAATAAGAACCCAGCTGGAGATTTCACTGATCTAGGGAACTCTCTATTGATGCAGGTTGGCCACTTCTTTGCCATGTCTAGTCTTAGAGTTGCCTAGGGCACTGAGAAGTAAGGAGACTTGACCGGGGTCACATAGTCTGTTAATGTTATAGTCTAGACTTGAACCCTAGTCTTCCTGACTCAGAGGTTCCCTTCTCCATGCAGTACCCCAAGTTGTTTGATGAGGAATGTAAAGTCTAAGATAATATAATCATAGCTAGCATTTATATAGCACCTTAAGCTTTGCAAAGTACTTTAACTGTATTATCTCATTTGACCCTCACTACAACGTTGGCCTTAAGTGAGCGTTGGCCTATGTGGTTTCTAAGGTCTGTTTCAGCGCTTAGGTCCTGCAATTCTGGATTGGGTTGTCAATCAATCAACACATCTGTCTTTCACTCTTCTCTCCTATTATCTGGCTTCTCTACTCATTAGACACCATGGAGATGGTGAATGAAGTAGAAGGGTCCCTCCCACCTGCCAGCAACCCAAGTGGTAGCAGCAATGGCGGCACCAAGAAGAGGCCAACCGTGGAGGAGCTACTGGCTGCCGTGGAACTGTTTCTGTCCGAGGCTTTGGTCAGTCAAGTCCAGGCGTGCTACCAGTTTAATATTCTCCTGCCCAACAGCGCACGTAGCACCTACTTCATTGATCTCACTACAGGTAGAGATGCCCTTCCAAGATTCCTCTCTTTGCCAGCAGGGCTGGGGCTTCCTTTGTTTGCATGAACCTCGATTTTCCAGTTTGGGGATTATCTGCTCTATGGTTTGTCCATTTCAGAGGTGGTTTTGGAGATGGATTCTTTGCCACTTCTTCCCTTCCGCTACCCCAGGAGACGCTGGGCCCTTCCAAGGTAGTATAGGCCAGATGGAGTTGAAGTTGGGAAATTCAGTTCAATTGAATAAACATATATTGAGAGCCTCCTATGTAACAGACACTCTGCTGAGTGGTAGAGAGATACGTATGTTCACCCACATGTGGGCGTCTCTGACTCAGTTGTTGCAAGGCCGAACTGGAAGGAGTTGGGGATTATCTATATTTTGGTTTACCTATGTTTCTCTGGATAATGGAGAGTTGGCCAAGCTCTTGGCACATCTTAAAGCACTCTCTATTAAATATTGTTGTTCTCCAGGATGGTTGGACCAACCTGACCGTTTGAAGCCCTCCTAGCCAGGCGACATATTGGTAGCCCAGCCTTCAGAAATCTTCTTAATCACACCAGCTGTTTCTCTCCTGTCCTCCAGGGAGTGGGAAGATTGGATGTGGTGTGCCTGACTGCAGTCCAGACGTGGTTTTGGAAGTGACCGAGGCTGACCTACTAGCCCTGTTCTCTGGGGAACTGAAGCCCCTTGGAGCTTATATGAGTGGGCGACTGAAGGTGAAGGGAGATTTGAACCTGGCCATGAAGATGGAGTTGCTCTTGAAGGCCATGGAATAGTGGAAAAATAGCAATGCCTGTCCCAGGCCCCTGCCTTGAGTCCCCAGCCCCTCAAGGTGCTTGCTGGCAATGAATGACAAAGCTACTTCTTTGGCATGTAAAATGGAGCTGGGAAAGTTGATGACTCTCGTCCCCTGCCTGGTCTGGTTCTCTTGTCTTCCTCACTCAGTTTTGTTCTTTTGACAAGTCTTTCCTGAGCCCCATCCGTGTGCCAGGGGAGACCATGGAAGAGACAGGAGAAGGCCTGATACATGCTCTCAGGGGACTCCTGCCGTGTGTGTGGAGACGAGACACACATCTATGCAACCGCTGGAGAGCGTTACCAAGCAATCTAAAAGCCAGTGTTGGAGTATGCCTGGTATGCTCTTACTGTGAAGGCAGTAATGATCAAGGACTGGGCTAGTCGGGGAAAACTTCAGCTGGGCCTTAGAGAAGGAGGAGGAGGAGGAGGAGGAGGAGGGGAACATTGCCATCCCAGCCCAGGAAGACAGGCCTCCAACAAGCTAATGGAATCCAGAATAGAGACCAGAGGACTAGGGATGGAAGGCAGGGACTCTGTGGCCCTGGGTGTCACCTTAGAATGGGGAGGAGAAAGGGCTGGCCCCTTCCCCTAGCATGTCTTCAGCCTCTTGGGCCCTGAATGTTGTCTGTCTTCCCTGTCCTGCATGTGATATCAGAGATGATGGGAGGTGGGGAGGTGGGGCGCGTTTATACATCCTGACTCTTGACTGAATTATCTTTGTGTTTTAAATTAAAAGACTGAAAAACCTGATTTTGTGTGATTAAGACAGAGACAGAGGGGCAGGTCCTGGGGAGGAATCCCAGAGACTGCCCAGCTAGTTAAAAATCAACTACATTTGTAAATAGGGCATGAGTCCATGGTCTAAGCTTTGGGTTCTCCTGCCATTATTTTCATTCTGAAAGTAAAGGAGTAGGTGGAGTGGATGAGGTCTGGGGCAATTGCAGATTCCATGGTCTCACTCCCCTGGGCCTTGCTCTGCTTCTGTTTTCCTCAAGCTCCAAATCCCAAGGGGGAAATAGTTTAGCAAAGTGGAAAGAGCCCAGGACCAGGATCCGTGAAATCCCGGTATTGTTAGGAAACTTACCAACTGTATCTTCTGATACTTTTCCTGATTCTCTCCAGCCTAGATCTCAAAGGATCTCAGAGATCTTCTTGGGTCACCTGCCCTTTCTTACAGATGGGGAAACTGAGATCCTGAGAAGACATGCCCAAAGGGACATCACTAGTTAGAGACAGAGCTGATGCTAACTACTTCTAATCCAGTGACCTCTTCCAGGAAAGCAAAATTTAAACTTTGTGCCCCAAGTCTCAAAGAATACCTTTTTGGCAAGAGGTGAATGAGCAGAAGACAGGGTGTGGCACTGGGAGGATCTTGGTTTACGGGGAAGGGTGATGAGATGGGTGATAAATCTACAAAGAGTAGATTTTTTCTCAGCCTCTGAGTAAAAGGAAATGGTGGGTGGAGAAGCAGAGATGAGAGGAAACCAAAGCCACTTTTATTAGTTGTGGGGGAAATCTAGGGCTATTTGTAAGACTAACCCACCTGTCCTCATAATGAAAAACAAAACTGCTTCTTCTCTCATTTCCTAGTAGAAGTGATACAGTACAGCTCGTTACAGTTCTTCCCCAAGGAACCTTAGTTTTCATCTTTTAAGATAAACAATCACTGAATGCTCAATCACATAGGACGTTTTTATTCATCAAGCAAGAGAAATTTGAAAACATTTTAAAAAAATAACTTTATTTTTAAAAATAACACAAAATGAAACAAAATGCCACTTTTTATTATTTTATTTTGATTTTTTCGATGTTAGAGTGTGTCTGAGCACTCTTGGCACACCCATACTTTTTAAGTTTTCATTTGGGCAGCAGGGCATAGTGGATAAAAAGCTAGGGAGACTTGGTTCCAACTCTTACCTGTAATACTGCTTACTAGGTAACCCGGAGCAGTTCATTAACTTCATGGTGCCCTAGGACACTATCTTATAAATGGGTTCACAGTTTGCATCAGTAGAGGGAGTTTACACACCAGGAGTTCCCTATATGGAAAATAGATCAGAGTCCCTTCTTACCCACTCTGACCCAAATTGGACAGGTGGTTCTTTATATATACATATATATGTATATACGTATATGTATGTATGTATGCATACATGTATGTATATGTACGTATATATTTCAATTGAGAACTTGAATAAAAACTAGGCAGTTAGGTAGCACTGTGATCTGGGCTTGAGAATCAAAATGAAATATTTGCATCCTGCCTCAGACGTTTACTAGTTATGTGAACTTAGATAAATCGCTTAACCTCTCTGAGTCTGAGTTTTCTTATCTGCAAAATGAAGTGTTATGTTCAGTTCCTAGTGCCACATTTCAGGAAGGATATTGATAAGTTATAAGGTATCCAGAGGAGGACAACCAGGATGGTAATGGTCATGAGATCATGCCTAAGTATTAGTTAAAATAATTGATAATGTTAAGCCTGAAGAAGCAAAGGGGCTCCTCACATGCAAAAAGCAATATGTGAGGCATGGGGGTGCCATCTTGGTAAAGCACTGTACTTCATCATTGCCTGCATTAACCACAAGAACCTAAATCCCATTCAGCTGCTCAATTCATGCCAACTCTGCAGGGTCCTATTTTTACCTAGGTTCAACTTTATCATCATATACTTTCGAACTTGGATGCTTACCTGATGGGCCCATCAGCCTAATATGCTCTTTTATAGGCTGACACTAAACCTTAACCAGACTCGCTAGAGTTCACCCACCAGTGGAACACCCATACTTAGGCTCAGTTCTCTAACTTCCAGATAGGAACAATGTCCATACCCAAGGGAGTCTCAGCCTTTGATTAACTTCTACAACTGATCAAGTGGTTTCCTCCCTCCTGGCAAGAAGGCTCAACAGGTACCGCCATGATAGACAGTCCAACTATGCATCATGGAGTCTCATTCAAAATCGTAAATATGACTGTCTGAGACTTTTGGGTAGCTATGATGATGGCATGACTTTGGCCACTTGGACTGGTTGTATGGAGTGTGGACTTCATGAGCTTCCCTGCAGGATCCTTGCAGTCTTCGTCTACCTCCTGAGCAGTGCCGATGCTGGATTTCGTCCCAGACAATAATCATGGAAATCTATATCGTCCTTTGTTGCAAAGGAATGTTGTGAGACAAGTACTGTGGGTGTAGTTACCTTATTTTATAGTTTGAGGCTTAGATAGGCTCAAGGCTTTGCCTACAGGCCTACACATCCAAGTATCAGAGCTAGGATTTGAACTCATCTTCCTTATTCCAAATCTAGCACTCTATGTATTATGTCATGTTGCCCTCAGTAAGATGTCATCATGGTTTTTGTTGACATCTTACCCAAGATGACTCATTTCCTCTCCTGTGCTAGATTTTCTGTTATGGTCAAGACTTGTCGCTTGTTCCTGAGGAAATTTTCCAGGTTCACATTCTCTCCTCTCACACTACCTCTGATTAAAGCACTTAATAGGTCTCATTTCTAGAGGTGTTCTGTTTCCAGAGTGCATAGCGTTTCTTTTGGCGAAGATTTGATTTCTACTTATCTGCCACCTCCAACTAAACATAACACTTCATTTTGCAGATAAGAAAACTCAGACTCAGAGAGGTTAAGTGATTTATCTAGAGTCATATAACTAGACAATATATGAATGAGCTGCATCCTGGACTGGTATTTCTAGTACCCCATCGTCTACCACCATCAGGATGGCACCTGGGGAATCCTCCTTATCATTTCCCACCCAGCTACTTTCCTGGACTTCATGATCTCCAGAAGCTCATTATTCTGTAAGATGAAACCAACTCTGAAACTCTCATCTCAGAGTATTTCTTACCCTGGCTGCAGGACCTCATCAAGTCCCTCTCTGGGTAACCTCTTTCAGCCCCACTGCACCTTTCTTTATGTGTTGTTTCCTCTATTAAATTGTGAGGACTTTGAAGGCAGGGACTTTCTCATGCCTTTTTTTATATCCCCAGTGCTTAGCACAACGACCAGCATGTAGTCAGTGTTTATTAAATGTTTATTGACTTATCTTTGACTCAGGTACCCTGCTGCCCACTGTGGAATTTTAAAATAGTAATTAAAACGATTCATTTACCCAAAACATGACGTTTTATGTGATCTCCAACTTCTGTCCTTGGTCTTTTTCTTGTCTCACCAACCTCACTGTAATGTTCACTGCCATTCCCTCCCTGGGGAAACCAAAGGTTATCCAGGCTAATTTGCAGCACCCCCTAAAAACACACAAAGTAGACACATGAACAACACCTGCCATTTCAAACATAGGCTCTTAGACCTGGGAGCCAGGTCTGGCTATGTTTCCATGACCTCCGCACCTACAGATATACCCAGAACCTCAAAACCAGGGCAGGAGACTGCATCCCCATCACTCAGGTGGTAAGTGTCCTGGGATCCACCAACAAATTCAATCCTCCTCACTCCCTATCCACTTGTGTTCTAGAATAGGCTCACCTTGAACCTGAACTATACCTGATGGATCCTGGCCCACTCCTGCTAATTGTGAATTTCAGTTCACCTTGACAAACATTTGTCAAGAATCTACTAGGTGCGGGGCAGCTAGGTGGCACAGTGGATAGAGCACTGGCCCTGGAGTCAGGAGGACCTGAGTTCAAATCTGGCCTCAGACACATAACACTTACTAGCTCTGTGACCCTGGGCAAGTCACCTAACCCCAACTGCCTAAAAATAAAAAAAAAAAAATTTAAAAAAAGAGTCTACTAGGTGCAAATCACTAAATGAATACAAAGACTAAAAATAAAAACCATCTCAGTCCTCAAGAGTTTACATTCTATGGGTGATACAACATGTACATATGGACAAATTTATATGGGATAACTTGAGGAAGGAGGGAACAGACAAATTAAATCTCACCTCCTGTAAGAGCAACACTCTCTGCCCTCCCCCTCCCCCCATATACATACTGTAAGTGCCTTCCTTCCGGAATTACTATATGCATATACATTGATACACACATACACACACATATGTGTACATATGTATATGTATGTCTATATGTGCATATATACACACATATACATATGTGTAGTTGTTTGCATGTTATCTCCATTAGAATGTGAGCTTCTTGATGACAGGATCCATGTTTTTTGCCTTTCTTTGTATCCCTAGATCTTAACACAGTGCCTGGCATTTAATAAATGCTTGAGGATTGATTGATTAATTGAAAATCTTCTTGTAGGAGGTAGCACTTGAACTGAGTCTTGGAAAGGCATAAAGGGAACGCGTTTTAGATTTGTACAATCAGCAGGCGTGGAGGTGGCAGAAGAAATGATTAATTGGGGGCAACAAGCGTACAGCTTATCTGGTATATAGAACAGGTGTTGTCTTTGTTCACTCTAATATCCTGTTACGAAATCTCAACTGAATTCTTTTTGCTACATGATCGTCCTTTTATTCTTCGTGGCTGATTCTCTGTCTCACTTTTCATGGCCCCTTTTTGAAATTTCTTCCTTTCTTCCCTCATCCCCGCCCACAAAGACACCCTAACCCTTCACAAAATCACCAAATGTAAGACTTGGAAGGCCCTCACAGGTCGCCTAATTCAACCTAAATTGGAATAATAATTCTTTCTACAGCCCGCTGGGGGGACGCAGAGTTTCCCCAATTTCCTTGAAAACCTCAAAATGAAAGGGAGCCTATGATCCCCTGAGGTAGCCTAGACCATTTAGGAAATTCATTTTATGT